GGAAGTTTTACCCAGGGGTTCCCTTTCCAGACTCTGACCCTTAGTGATCCCCTCATCCTAAACAGCCCCTCAAGCACCTGGATATTTGCACTCCACAAACAGAGCAATGTCCAAAGATACCTCCTGTTGCAGACCTCTGGCGGACAACACTCCCACGCTCAAAACTTGTCACCTCAGGGTTTGTACTAGGTGCCATGGTGAGTGACGAGCCGGGTCGGCGCTGTGGTGAGTGACAAGCTTTGTTCCTCGCTACTGCCGTCCATCTGCGGCTCTCACGTCACAGCCCTTTTATGAATTATGCCTCTCAAGACATAGGAACATAAGAATGGCCAGACTGGGTCAGATCCAAGGTCCAACTAGCCCAGTCTTCCATCAGTGGCCATTGCCAGGTGCCCCAGAAGGAATAAACAGATCAGGCAATCATAAAGTGATCCATCCCCTGCCGTCTATTCCCAGCTACTAACAAACAGACACCATCCCCACCCATCCTGGCTAATAGCCACTGATGGACCTAACCTCCATGAATGTATCTAGCTCATTTTTGAACCCCATGAAAGTCCTTCCCTTCTCCACATCCTCTGGCAAGAAGTTCCACAGGTTGACTGTGCACCGAGTGAAGAAAAAGGTCCTTTTGTTTGTTTTAAACCTGTTGCCTATTCATTTCATTTGGTGATCCCTAGTTCTTATATAGTGGGAATAAGTAAATAACTTCTCCTTATTTGCTTTTTCCCCCACCAGTCATGATTTTATAGACCTCTACCATATCCCCCCTTAGTCTCCTCTTTTCTAAGCTGAAGTCTTGGACTTCACAACATCTTCTGGCAAGGAGTTCCACAGGTTGACTGTGCATGGTGTGAAGAAATAATTCCTCTTGTTTGTTCCTTTATCTGCTAAAAAGAGGCCATAAGAGGTGTGTGTTACTTTACCAGCTTCTCAGATGGGGAAAGCAAAGCAGTGACCAAGCAGTTTAAGTGACGTACCCAATGTCTGCAAGGGAGTCGGTGACTGCCCTCATGGCTCTTAGTCCTATTCTTCGGTTCTAAAGCCGTTTTTCAGAGACAACTGGACAGTGTCATCCACCAGCCAAGTGCACTTACCGCCACGGCGCCTCCTGCTGGTAGCCCTGGGAATTAGCTTTTGTTTGCTTTCTGGAGGCCTCCCTCTGGCAGGTGTCTCCGCATGTTCTCACTTCACTCTCCAGTCTGGACCCGCTTCACTCTTGCTACTACACTCCAAGCTGTGCCTGCTCCAGTGTCTCTCGACCCCCTTCCGGGGGGTCCTCTCTCTACACCAGAGTCCTCCCTTCCTAGGGAACACCCAGTTCCCTTGGACCCTTCTTGCCTCAGTGACCCACAGCCAGTCTTCAGCTAGCCCCTGCCTCAGGGCAAACTCCAGTCTGGAATGGCCACTCAGCATTGTCAAGGGGTGTGGACCTGCTGCCTTTGCCTACCCCGGCTGCCTCCCTGCAGCCCTAGTAGCCTCAGGCCTTGCTTCAAGCCCTGCAGCCTGGGGGCTTGCCTACCTAGAGTTTCCCCAGCTCTGCCTGCCTGCCTGCCTGCCTGCCTCCAGGAAGCCTCTTGCTTCCCAGACAGCTAGGTCCCACCTGCTCTCCAGCCAAAGTGAGCCCTCCCCTACTCCCTCCTGGAGGCCTTCTTTATGTAGCCTCAGCTGGGCCCTAATTGGCTACTGCCTGCCACAGCTGTGGGTTTTGCACCCCGCTCTCTCCCAGGATTCCGGGTTTTACATTTAAAGGGCCAGGGCGGGGCAGATGCCTCCTCACAATCCGGAGTGGAGCTTTTCCTGACGATTCCCGTTAGCGACAATGAAGGGGGAGAGGATGACGTCAGACCCTGGCTGATGGCCACATGCAGTCTCAGCAGATACACAGGGTGGCCAGGTGGCCAATATTCACCCGGACAGTCCGGTATTTTCGGCTCCTGTCTGGTAAAAAAATTCAGAGACTACTGGACACCTGAGATGTCCGGTATTTTCTGAATTTTTCCCCAGGCCAGGAGGCGAAAATGCCGGGCACTTGGCAACCCTACAAACATTCAGCGTTATTTTCTGAATTTTTCCCCGGCCAGGAGGCGAAAATGCCGGGCACCTGGCAACCCTACAAACACTCAGCGCCCGGCCTCCCCTCCCAGCTCCCAACACCCCCAGCCCCCACGCTTACCTGGTTCCCTAAGGCTGCCGGCACAAAAGGGGACATACTGTTTTAATGCTGGTTTGGGGGGGGGGGTTGTTTTTGTTTTTTGGCTCAACAACTTTGGTCTCCCCGCCTTTTTTTTTCCTTTCAACAGAATTTTTTCCGGGTGCTTTTTTTTGCAGGGGGGAGAGGGGGGAGTTCAGTATTTTTGTTTCAACCTAGATACAAACGGGAGTCACCACCTGAGGATCTGCCCCCCTTTGAACACATCTGGTGCATTCTTCTGCACCACAGCCAGAAGTCACATGGGTGAGAATTTTGTAGGTAGCCCAATAACCTAGGCCTTAGGGACACCTCACGTCCCCACTTGCTGCTGAAATGTCCCAAGTCCAAATGAGAATGGGAAGTCAGGCCTATCTGCTCCCTTTGAGGTGGCATCTGAAATTCAAGAAACAATCACTAAGATGACGAGTGAATGTTTCCTCCTTGTCCCAAATAATTTACCAACATTTTTAATGGCCCAACATGCCTCCCCCTTGTTTTAATAGCTCTGCAGTGAGAAACAACAAAGGAAACCCAACTTTGGGAAAGGGAAAATGTTACTCATGCAAAACAGGAACCACCACCATTAACTGTGGAGCTGAGTCAAAGGTTCAGGCCGAAAAATACTGGCAGAGATCATGTCCCGAGATAGAACCACTACATTTTCCTCACCGGGCTTTTGCAGCAACCAAAATTTCACACCGGAACATAGTCAGGCCGGCTGCATGCAGAGACAGGATACTTTGTGAGTGCTAATCAGTTGCATATGGTGGCATTCAGTCAATAAAACTACGAGTTCTTTATCTTTAATATTGTGCCGAGATGACTAGGAGACCCTCAAATCCCCAAATATTTGACATCCAAAAAGAACTTTGATTCATTCCACATCGGAGACCCTTTCATATTTGTTTTCCAGGAACGTTCAAGTGCTCAGACTTTGCTAGAGAGCCTCACAAAAAGCCAATATAAAGTTTTAATGCGCCAGTATTTGCCGAAAAGCTAATTTTGAATTTCACCTTCAATTGTAATAATAAAATAAAGGAAAAGGTCATGCTGAATGCATAAATCATGCTATAAGGGAATGGCGTGACTTATGGAACGAACAAGTGCTACACAAAACCAGCCATACGGGACTCTTTGCACATTCTTGATGTAGAGAAAAACCTCTCGCGGAGACATTGGTGACATGTTTTTGAATAACAAATTTCACGATCAGCTCATAAACAAGAGGAGAGACAAATGACTGCTTCGTTAGGCTGTATTTGCTTAGCTCCAATAATGAGCATATTGATTCAAAACTCAACAGTGAAGCACTTATAATGTTATCACTTGTACAGTAGATAGAGCCAAGTCAAGATTAAAAGGATACCCTGAAAATTTTAGGTGCTACAAGATAAGTCAATGTCCAGCATCCTCACTGGAAATTCTCCTTTAAATACAACTAAATCTTGTCTCTTTCTCTCCACAGAGATTAACCCAGGGTTTTATGCAGAGCCAGGCATGAACCACACATTTCAAATCTAGATTCTAACTTTCCCAGGATTTGGGAAGTTGTCTGAATGAAAGAGACAGGAATATTTAACTCAGAGATCAAAACTTCTCCGAAGTGTGGGGATGTCTAGGTCAGACCTCATGCCTCAGTTTGGAACCATCTGCTTACTGAGAGCTGGGTCAGGCACGGAGAAGGAATAAATCAAAATGGGCCTTATCCGGACACCAAAATAGATGCAAGAAGTCCTGTTTCCTGATTCCCCCCAGCACTTCACTGGAGAACCGGTGACTTCTCGTTCCCGTCTAGTTGAAGGAGATTAATGGAATCTATCCTCAAACAGCGCCACTAACACAGGCTGCTTCTGAAAGCACAATACCAATCCCTTCACACCAATAATGCAGAAAGGCTAACGACTCCAACACAAGCAGATATCAGCATGAGAGCTGAGATTAGAACTCAGGTGTGCCTGACTTTGGCTCTTATGTTCAGTCCCCTTTCATCTCACAGACCTTTTTTGAAAAATCTCTTGCCATGCACAGCACACGCTGTGGTTCCAGGAATCACTAGAGAAAGAAACCCAGCAAAGAAAGAGGACTATGTAGCACTTTAAAGACAAACAAGATGGTTTATTAGCTTCTTCCACTATTTGATCTGAGGAAGTGGGTCTGGCCCATGAAAGCTCATCACCTAATAAACCATTTTGTTAGTCTTTAAAGTCCTGCATAGTCCTGTCTTTTGTTTCAGCTACACCAGACTAACACGGCTACATTTCTATCACTATTCAGCAAAGAAAGGAGAGAGAAAACATTGATCCTCCACTTCCACCTCCCCATATGGATAATATTGACAGGCTTTTACAGACAGAGATGGGACCAGGATTAACATCTCCATTCATGCTGCTTTGATTCAGAGCCAGTCCTATCCGGCCCAGGAAGTCACTTCAGATTACGTATTTCCTATGCACTAAAAGCGCCTGGGGCGGCGTGGTGGAACCTGACGCAAGAGGTGACATGTCGCGGCCCCTTCCCGCCTTGGTTTCTTGTGGAGTTTGGGGGTTTCTGAAACTTACTTGTTTCAATTACAGGTTAATAAAATGCCACTGAAATTACTGACCCTGCTTACAAGCGGTAATGGGTTTAAAATCAGGGAGCAGGAGGGCTCAGATACCATGGAGATGGGCACAGTCAGCCAGAGCTCTATTGTACATGCCCCCCCTTTCACCCAAAACACGGTCTTCAACACCGCCTTGCCCACCGCTGCGCTCCACTTACCCAGAAGCTCCACCCGGCCGCCGCTCATGCAGTTTTCCAAATAAATCCCATCCTTGAAACAATCTTCCTTCCTCTTGGGTAGCCCCAACATCTCGCCGGGCAGGTCCAGCACCTCCCCTCCAGAGCACGAGCAAGGCGTCTGCATGATGCCACAGGGATGGGAGCTGCTGCTGGTGGTCAGGCAGGTGTCCAGCCATTGGCACAGCATCTGGCAGGCGGCTTTGCTGGGGCTCCGATTGCCCACCACCAGGTACTCCACCGAGAAGTCCTGCTCCTGAGGCTTGGCGGGCTTCCGCCGCCCGTGCCCACCTTCTCCCGGGGGCGCGGTCTGCTTCATCTGGAGGAACTGCTTGTTGGACTGGAGGAAGGCGTGCCTGGTGGACGTGTCACAGAGTTTTAGCACGTCGTCGAAGCTCTCCATGCCCAGGTAGGTGCGGGTGGACTCCAGGAAAGAGTCGAACTGGTAGGTGCGTATGGGCTGGTGGCCACATAGGCCGGTGGGTTTCAGGACCTTCATGTACAAGGTGTACCTCCGGGGGTCCGGGTTCTGGATGATCCAAGAGCACCGGGAGGAGTTCGATGGGAAGACAGCAAAGGAGGAGAAATAGCCAAAGAATTTCCCCTGGACCAGGGTGGTGCAGGGTGTTTGTCCCAGGTCCAGGGCGACCACAGTCCACAGGAAGAAGAGGGGTGATATCAAAAGCAGGTTCAGGGCAAAGCCAGTGCTCCTCATCCTAGGTCTCTGGTCCTATGGAACTCAAAGTAAGTGTCAGGCCGGCGCCAGATCTTGGAAAGAGCGAGTTTAGGGGACTCTATGCGGAGTTAAGCCGATCTCCCCATCGCCGGACTTGGGCGCCCCTTTGTGGCCATACGCGGCACCTGGGGAAGAAAAGAGAGAAGGGAGTTGGTAACTCGCAGCGCACCGACCGGCTCTGAGCTCTCCCCGCGCTCGCAGCCCCGGGCAAGGCTGGGGGAGAGGGGCCGGTCG